TTTGATCGTGGGCGAATGATGAAGACTCATTGTGCAATTAACAGCTCTTTATTCATTTAAGAGCAAAACCACAACAACGAGCAAAGGCACGCAGGCCTCTTTTTATATGACCAGATCCCCGGACACAATGGCAACAATCAGAGCGCTTTCACACCTTGCGCATGTGTGCAAGGCTGGCGCCCCTCAGTCTGGTCCCGGGCACCTTCTGGAATGCCCAGGATCATTGCAACATCCTGAGCCTGCTTGTGCAGGCTCAGGACACAACACCATTCTCTATCCAAAGGTCTGTGTAAGGACTGTAAGGATTTTGATTCATTTATCATGCTGTTACAAAGCAAAGCAAAAAGCCTATAAAGAAACCTTCTGATTTTGTACCACCTCAAAATACAAGATTATCAGCCAATTAGAACTTCAGTAGATTTTTTAAAAATCCAAGTTCAAGTTCAAAACTCACAATGGGTTTTTGCCATGTCAGGCTGCAGGCAGGGAGGAAGTAACATAATTGAATTAACATCTATGTAAGTATACACAATTGAATTGTGTATACTTACAAAGAAAGCTAGCACCAACAAAGAGTTTCTTATGTATAAGGACATTTTTCATTACTTCATGGAAGTGTATTATAAAAACAACCCATAGCAAGAAACCTTCCCTGTGCTATTGTTAGATTTATACCTTAAGGCGATTCTTTCCACATTGGAGCCATTTTAATGGAATGGTTAAGATGCTGGTCTACAAATAAGGAGACAATGAGTTCTAGGCCTTCCTTTGGCATGATAGGCAGTTGGATGACTTTGCACCAATCACCCTTTCTCATCCTAGGTTTGTTGCTTAACACAGCCAAGATATTACAATGGAGTTTGGACAAATGTGCCATCAACAGGGGGAAAATAGTGAATACTGAATGGATCAAGATGTCCTATGGAAAGAATATCAAGAGCATGGATTCTTGTTTGTCTGTCAAGCTGACAAAATCAAGCATGGTGAAGTCAAGAAGGTTAGAAATGAATAGATCATGTGAGTGCAGAAGATCTTAAAGTCAAGTCCCAATCATTGGAGGAAATACTATCAGGGAAATTAACACCTGGACAATTTAGGCATTAGATACACAGCTGGAATAGCGGACTGGACTCAACCAGAACTAAAAGCCCTGGATAGGAAGACAAGAAAAATAATGAATCATGTTCTTCATCCAAACAACAGTGTTTGACAGACTCTATTTATTAAGGAAAATAGGTGGGTGTAGAATGTTGCTAGTATATTAGACAGTTGATCAAGAAAAAAAAAGGCATTGGAAGAACATATGAAGAACAGGGAAGAAGATGTACTGAAACTAGGACACCATGAAGGCTTACTGAATACTGGAGAGGCCAAACTGGCTTGCAAGAAAAATCAGATGAAGAATGAAAAAAGCCAGTTTAGCATAATGAGTAAAGCATCAGGCTAGAAAGCCAGAGACAGTGAGTTCTACTCCCATCTTAGCCATGAACTATCCATGACTCAGCCTACCATTCTTCCAAGGTCGATAAAATGAGGACCAAGATTGTTGGGGGCAATATGTTGACTCTGTAAATCATTTAGAGAGGACTGTAAAGCACTGTAAAGCGGTATATAAGTCTAAGTGCTATGCTATTGCTATGAAAGCCAGTTGGGTGAGCTTTGGCCAATCAATCTCTCTCAGCCCAATTCACTCCACAGAGGAGGAAGGAGGTGTATTGGATACATTTGCCACCTTGGATTATTTGTACGAATAATAAAGGCAGAATATAAATAAATAGAATAAATAAATATAGTAAGGCAAGATATTCCATGGCCAATACACACACACAAAAAAGCTGACAGGTAAACAGATAACAACGAGATCTGGTAGTGGCTAAGAGCAGAAAAGTTGAAGAAACAGACAGAGGGGCTAACTCTATCTATACAAGACCAAGCACTTAAAAATAACTACATATAAATTAAGAAGGCAGTAACAGATGGTAAATGCCACCTCTGCAAAGACACTGAATGAACAATAGTCCACTTACTTAGCTACTGCAAAAATATCAAAAAGACTGACTACAAACAATGGCATGACAAAGTAGCAAAGACCTTGGAATATCTGCAAGAAATATCACTTGCTTACAAGCAAGAACTGGGTGACTTTAGAATTCAGACAGACAAACAATTGCCTTATAACACCCCAGACTTAACAAATGTTGATAAGAAAAGCAAAAAAGTCTGGATATTAGATGTGGCAATACACAGAGCCAGCAGAAGAGAAGAGAAAGAACTAAAGAAAATCACAAAGATTTGAAAATAAAAGTAGAATGATTGTGGCAAAAGAAAGCAAAGATAGGAGCCTTAACTGTAGTCCCCCAAACTATTAGAGCATCACTTGAACACCATCAGCATTGACAAAATCACCATTAGACAATTACAAAAGGCAACTTGGCTTGGAACAATTTATTTCCTGCAAAAATAGTTTTTAATAAATAATAAATTGTAAGCTGTCCAGAATCACCTTTTAGTGAGATGGGTGGCAAATAAATTTAATACATAAAATATTACTAGATGACATCTATCTATCCCAGGTCCTTAGGAAGGACTCAATAGATGGATAAAAATGACAAATCCAGTCTAAATATCTGGCTGACTAGGCAACCCACCATAATAATAACAACAGAACAAAATAGAAAATGTGATTTATGCCAAGAATTGTTGCTATTATTTTCTATTTTGTTCTTTATTTTGTTCTTTATCAAAATAATTATATATTTCTCTGCTCAGAGTTCAATTGTAAAATATCTGTCTAATGGTAGTTGTAAGGAAGATTTTATCTATCTATCTATCTATCTATCTATCTATCTATCTATCTATCTATCTATCTATCTATCTATCATCTAGCTAGCTAGCTATGAGCTGTGGTGGCGCAGTAATTAGAATGCAGTACTGCAGTTTACTTCTGCTGACTGCCAGCTGCCGGCAGTTTGGCAGTTCGATTCTCACTGGCTCAAGGTTGACTTCTGAGGTCAGTAAAATGAGAATCCAGATTGTTGGGGCAATACTCTGTAAACCACTTAGAGAGGGCTGTAAAGTACTATGAAGCAGTATATGTCTAAGTGCTATTGCAATCTATCTATCTATCTATCTATCTATCTATCTATCTATCTATCTATCTATCTATCTATCTATCTATCATCACTTTTTAAAAACCACCCATCTCCCTCACAGGGGGACTCTGGGGAACATACAATAAGATGAAGAAATAATATAGATTGAAAACAGTGACTGTGAGAGGGACCTAGTGGATGATTACTTAAATATGAGCCAGGAATATGCGGTATCTGCCAAAAAGCTAATACAATCCTTGGTTGTTTTGGAAGAAAAGTCTTCATCGTGGTTTATCCAAGCTGGGAATAAACATGGTTTATTCTCAGCTTGGATGTAGTTTATTGAAGATGTAGTTTATTGGTTGTAGTTTATTGAAGAGGGGAGCCAGACAGAAAGATGACTCTGGCAGAAAAAGAGGAGAGAAAAAGGGCTGAGCACATGTGGGGAATAGGTTTTTATATCCTCTGGAGCCTTTTATTTGGAGGTTATTTCCTGTTCCTGTTTGAGGCTTTGTATTTCCTGTGTCATGTATTTTGACCTGTGTCCCTTTGTCATCTGTGAGTTAATTCTATTATGTCCCAAAGGTCATATCCTGCTTCCCTGGTGCTGGGACTAATGATTCTTAGAGTTTGAGTGGTGTATGCAGATTTTAGGTATCTTTGTCTTCTTAATCTCCAAGCTGGGGCCTTTCTGATGGTTTACATCTGCATTTGTACAGAGCTGGCTTCTGCTTGGGACAGAGAGACTTGGGGGCAGAGTTGGTTTCTGCTTTTAAAATCCTTTTGAGGAAATATATTTTTCTGCCCTTTTAATATTTCCTTCTCTGGGGGGCTGACTACCCACAATTGTATAAACAGAGGCATAGAATCAAAATCATGTGGGGTATTAGTACTGCTTTATAAATCCTTACTGCATCCAGTTTTGGTCATCGCATTACAAAAAAGATGTTGAGACTCTGGAAAAAATACAGAGAAGAGCAACTAAGATGATTAAAGGCCTGGAGACTAAACCATATGAAAGATGGTTGCAAGAATTGGGTATGGCTAGACCAGAGAAAAGAATGACTAGGGCTGACATGATAGCAGCATTCCAATATTTGAGGGGCTGCCACAAAGAAGAGGGGGTCAATTTATTTTCCAAAGCACTAGAAGGCAGGACAAGAAATTAATCAAGAAGAGAAGCAACCTGGAATCAAGGAGAAATTTCCTAACAGTGAGGACAATTAACCAGTGGAACCGTTTGCCCTCAGAGGTTGTGGGTGCTTCATCACTAGAGGTTTTTAAGAAAAGACTGGGCAGCCACCTGTCTGAAATGGTATAGGGTCTCCTGCTTGAGCAGCAGGCTGGACTAGAAGACCTCCAAGGTCCCTTCCAGCTCAATTCTGATTCTGAAGCCAGATATTGTTTTGGAACCTGAAGGAGGAATATAACTTTAGGCACAATGCATTACTAAGTAGTTGAATATATAGTTTCTAAAGATAGATATCAGCAGTATTAACACCTGAATGGCTATTTAACACAAACGATGTGTTAAACAGTCAGAGTAAGTTCATTGCTGAGCAGAAATCAGTTGGCAGAACAAAGGTTTATGTGGGTAGGAGGAAGGATTGGCAAGCAAAAAAAAAAAAAAAAGCAGAAGGCTAAGGCAAAGCAGAACTGCAAACAGAATGAAGTTCAGCTTGAATACATCTATTATCCTTTCTCCTTTAATATTATTTAGCAAAGTCAAAAACTGTCAGTGTGGTGCTAGGTAATTTGAGGCAGAGATTGTTTGTGTACCCTCCCAGCCTCCAGTTCCATAATTCCACTGAATGCCTACCTAGACCATAATATAATGTGTAACAAGAAACTGAGATCAACTATGACTGGAAAAAAAAATGACTCCAAAAGCCTGTTAAGTTGTTTTACCTTTCATATAAATATAGCTAATTAGCAGAATTTCAGTAATGGGATCGACTTCATTGACAAGCTTAGATATCTTCCCACGGGTTTTCCTTGTGATGTAACTTTTGATGTGCTGCTCAGTTTCTTAAAATTTTCCCAAAAGATGTCTCCTCCATAGAAGTTTTTGAGGCCTTTGAAGAATCGCTGTTCAGGATATAGCTGGTTTTGCACAAAAAGACATTTCCCAATTTCCATCTGGTGTCCAGCTCCTCCATTATTTAACATGCGTGTGAGTTCCCGGAAGCCTTCATGTATCATCCTCTCCTGGATCTCTGATGGCTTAAAATCAAGTCCTTTCAAAATTTGATCTGAAGTGTTATTCTTTGCACCCACGGCCATCATTGCAAAGGCAGAGGCCTAAGGGAGAGAAGGCAATATTCCCCTTGCTTCTGCCCCCTTGCTGGCTTTCCCTGGAAGAGACCTTCCTGAAGATCTTGAAGGCAAAGTCAGAATTGCTGTTGACTAGTACCTGGATTGGTATCTGGGCACCTCTTGGGTGAGACTCATACTGGTAATTGTCACGATTATTCTTGTTAGGATAGCTAGAAATTTGTGGGTAAGGATTGTCAGCGGGGGTTCCAGCAATAAAAAACAACAAGAGAAAGATGGTTTTCATTTTCCTCCTCTAAGAAAAAGCAAAAAAGAAAAAAAATGCATTTTTTCATTTAGCACATTATTTTGATTTGATTCATTTAAGAGACAACTCAATTAAATTCTGGTATGTTATAGGTATACATCAATGTCACATACAATATTTCCAGTTCTTAGCTACGATGCTATACTAGTTCCTACCAGTGGATGCCACTATTTCTCAACATAAACCTCTATTTCTCAACCAAAAATATAAATTGAATGTAATGATACAGTTAAGCTGGCAATATTTACCCTAGTCTCATTCATTCATTAATCACTGATTAGAGGGAAATAACTATGACTATATTATATATCCAATTTTATTTATTTCTACCTCTTTATCACTTTCAGCATCTTTCTCAAGATAAATGGTCTAGATAAGCATTTACTGTATAGCACAATCATCCCTGATAGGTATGGAACTTAGATGTTGTTCTAACTGTCAGGAAATTTCTCCTTAGTTCTAGGCTGGCTCTCTCCTTGCCACATGTTCCTTATGTTACCCACATATTTCCCATCTGTTTCTTATATTTGTGTAGAGTCCTTGGTGTTCTTGGAGATGGTTGTTTGCTTGCAGATATTTCATCACCCAAATTAGATGGTATTATTAGTACTAGTTAGTGTGCATTTTGTTCCCCCTTTACACATATTGTTGTTGGTATGGTTTTATATTTTATATATTTATTATATTTTGATCATACATGGGCAAAATAATCTTATTTCTCTTTTTTAATGTTTGAAAGCAATTATTCATAACAGCTACATATTTTTTCCATTATTAGAGGTCATGTCTTTTATCAGAGCCATGGTAACATAGCGGTTAGAATGCAGTCTTGCAGGCTAATTCTGCTAATTGCCAGCAGTTCGATCCTGATCGGTTCAAGATTGACTCAGCCTTCCATCTTTCTGAGGTCGGTCAAATGAGGACCCAGATCATTGGGGGCAATAGGCTTACTCTGTAAACTGCTTTAATATTCACGGAATGTGGCTTTTAAATCGGACTCAGACTCGCGGTATGACTGTATTATTTTATTGTTTTATGATTGTTTTAATCTCTGTACGCCGCCCTGAGTCCTTTGGGATTGGGCAGCATATAAATAAAATTAAATACAAATACAAATAAATCCGGCGACATGCTGGCACTTAGATTAGCCAGAGATAATTTGAAAAGTGCCATAAAAGGTGCAAAGCAAGCCCATTGCTAGAAAATTCAGAACTTTTTTCAGGACCCAACAAACACCAAGAGAATGTTGCAAGGAATCCAGGCCATTACGGATTATAAGGTGGCTCCATCGAGATGCAAGGACGACACAGACTTCCTAAACGAGCTGAATACATTTTTTGCAAGATTTGAGGCATCAAATAGCACTCCTGCTAGGAAAGCCCCATCCTGATGAGCAAGTGCTTAGCTTTTATGTCACCTCTGTCTGGAACACACTGCAGAAAGTTAATATTCGGAAAGCAGTGGGCCCAAATATCCCTGGATGTGTCCTTAGGGAATGCGCAGATGAGCTGGCTGGTGTTCTTACAGATATTTTCAATCTCTCATTGCAGCAGGCAGTGGTCCCATTGTGTTTTAAGACAGCCATCATTTTGCCAGTGCCAAAAAAAGTCTGCAATTACAGGCCTTAATGATTACTGTCCGGTTGGACTGACATCCATCATTATGAAATGCTTTGAGAAGCTGATAAAGGACATTATTGTATCTAGCCTCCTACCAGTATTTGACCCGCTTCAGTTTGCTTACCGATCAAATCGCTCTACGGAGGATGCTATTTCTTCTGTTCTCCATCTGAGCTTGAAGCACTTAGAGGAAAGAAATTCTCATGTGCGTTTGTTGTTTTTCGACTTCAGTTCAGCATTTAACACAATCATTCCCCAGCATCTAATAGACAAACTGGGCCTTTTAGGCTTAAACACTCCTTTGTGCAACTGGATTCTTGATTTTCTTTCTTTTTTTAATAAATATTTTATTGGTTTTTAACTATAACAGTCTCCAGTGCCTGGTGTACAGCGTGTTGTCTTGGTTTATATTTTAACAAGGAAAAAAGACAATAATAATTAATTAACAATCAATAATGATTAAGTCTGATAATTCCATAATTAGTATATTAATTAATGATATATTTCTTTGATCTTCCCTTCTCCCATTTATATTCTCCTTCAACCTTAAACAAAATATAATTCTTAATATTTTCAATATATAAATGATTAGATATAGGCATTTTAATATTTATACAGATAATAATAAACTCTATGTATGACATTATTTTTCAGCTTATATTATTCTTATAACCATCATCTCATTAGTTCACCATGCATCCTATTTTCATAATTTTTGTTTACGCTTAATTTCCTTTATATTCAATCCAATTCTTATCGGTCATAATTTCTTCATATGTTAGTCATCTAACTGTCCAAATTTTCCCATTTAAGTACATTATCCCAATATTTTATGTCATGCATTATAAAAATACTATACTTTTTATCAATCTTATAATATCTAGGTATAACATCCTTTTAATCGATTGATTTCACTTATTAATAAAAGTTACATCAACCCACTATTTTTACAATTCATATATTATTGAACATACTATATTACTTAAATCTCTTATCCTTCTTGTTATAAGGCCCCTTTATGTTCAAAATTCTCTATTCTTTTAGCCATATTCAAACAAGTGTTTGTTCACATAATAGTCCATCTGGTAGGGCGAGTCAAATCTCTTGTATCTGTCTCTGGTCTTCTTCTTTTGCTGAGCAGTTTTCCAAGTTGATGTAATCTGCTTATCCAGTGGTTCCTGTGTTTTTGTAAATGTTGTTAGGAATACAAAAGATGAAGTAAGTAAGATAAATACTTTCTGTCTCCCAAACTTTGATGGTTCTCCTGGAAGTTCTATAGTCCATTCCATTTTTCTTTTTGTATCAGAATCTTGTATATTTTTTCCTGTTTGTGTTAAATTGTAATTCTTTTCATTTGTTGTTTCATCAATTTGGTCATATTTTTCTAATTTGTGGTCTGTTATCTGAGTTATTTGTTCATTTGTTGTTATTTCCTGGGTGTTTTTTAATTGTAGGTTTAGATGAGAAATATGTTTATTTAAATCATCAAAGTTGTTTCGAATTTCCTCGTGGTTTGAGTCTATTGTCATTTGTATTTGTCCTAATATTACATATATTTCCTCCTGGAAAGTATTTGTCTTGCTTTGAAGTATTGTTTCTGGAGGCCCTTGATTTTTCAGGCTAAGTCCTTCAGGAGAAAATATTGAATGTGACATCCTGTCAGTTTTTGATACGTATATGATACCCATGTTGTCTGCCCCCTTCAAATAATCTTTCATCAATGTTTTAATTCAACAGTCAATTTATCAGTCGATCAAAATTACAGTTCAGTGTGTTAAGCCACTTTAAATCCTTCCTGTAGATTCTCCTCTAAAAGATTAGCCAAAGGCCAAGATTTTTCTTTTCCATAAATAGTTCTTAGATTTAAACAACAGTCCAAGTGCTTTTTTCCCCCTTTCAAACACTTTTTAATCTTATAGCTGGCTCTTCCTTTGTTCCCAGCTGTGTTCAAGGTTATTTGCAATTCAAAGGAACAACTTTTTCTTTATTTCTGGGCATTCTGCCAATTTCTGAGTCCTTATTGTTAGTATTCTATGCTCTGATTCTCCACTAGATGTCAGCCGTTATTTTTGTTATGTATTTTTTATAATTCCATCAAAAATCTTTAGGGTATAATCTTGACAGTTTTTAGTTTCTAAATTTGTCCAGACTGTAATATTTTAAATCAAATTTTAATATATCTCTTTCCTCCTTAATATTAATTGGCTGCTTCCGTCTATAAAGGAATAGGGATATAGTCCCCTCCCTTCATTTCCAGAGGTTTTCTTGCTTTGGGGATCTTCAAGGATTCAATTAGTAGATAGAAGAAAGAAGATAAATACTCTCACCAATTCCAAGCACACTGTTCACCGATGTTCAGGTTCATGCTCTTGGACTTCAGCTACAAGTAGCTTGGTCTAGATGCTGATCTCATGCTAGCCTTTCTCCTGGTGGGTCAGAGGGCTTCCCCCAGTCAAACAAAGCAACCACCATCACTTTGTGATCAATGGGGCACCCCTCCTTCATGGTCACCTCTTTGGGGTGCTTTGGACCCATCTAGGGTCCCCCTGGCAGGACAAAACTAGCCGTGGGGAGCGGAAATCCACCCTCATGCGGCCATGCGCTACAGGTGCAAAACCAGAAGTCCTAGATTCTTGATTTTCTTACTAACGGGCCCTAATACATGTATGCTGGAACAAATATTTCTAACACCATTTTCTCCTCAGGGCAGTGTTCTAAATCTGTTGCTGTTCGCCCTGTTGACCCATGATTATCGTGCTAGGTTTGCCACCAACCAGATTGTGAAGTTTGCAGATGATACAACAGTAGTGGGTCTTATTCATGATGACAATGAGGGTGCTTATTGTATCGCAAGGAGGTTGAGGGCTTGGTGAACTGGTGTAAAGAAAACAGCCTAGTTCTAAATACTGGAAAAACCAAAGAGATCATTGTCAATTTCAGAAAAGGCAGGCACAGCCACACTTCTTTGAGCATGATTCACCTGTGGAGATGGTTACCAGCATCAAATTCCTGGGTGTTCAGTTAACAAGTAGGCTGGCTTGGTCACTCAACAGTGAGACACTGGATTCTCTCCACTGCATTGCATGAGAAAAGCATATCTTCCTTCCCCTATTCTTACCATTTTCTACAGAGGGAGGATCGAGAGCATCCTATCATACAGCATAACAGTTTGGTTTAGAAGCATCACTGCTTCAGACAATGCAGAGAGTGGTGAGGATGACTGAAAAGATCATTGGCAATTCCCTCCCTTCCATCCAGGACTTAGCACATAAGCGTTGTTTGAGCAAGGGCCACAAGATTGTCTGGGACACTACACATCCTCTTCATGACCTGTTTTCCTTGTTACCTTCTGGGAGGAGGCTTCATGGTATCTGAAACAGAACATTCAGATTCAATTACAGTTCTGTTCCATACAGTATTAACCTTGTGAACTCTAAAGCTTCCTCCTTTCATTATGTATTCAAGATGGACAATAAATAATATTTATATGTTACTTATATGTAAGGGTGTGGGTCTATACATATGTTGTATATAGTATGTTTTAAATGTGTGTTATGTATGTGTACACCTTGAGAGCAAGCAACTAAATTTCATTTTTAATGTGTGCCATTGTGCCCACAGGAAAAAATGACAATAAAGTTTATCTATCTATCTAATTCAGAAATAAACCTCCATTTGAACATGTGCAAGAAATAGGCAGGGATAGTGATGCCCGTCCTATGGTAGTTCAGTAGGCAGTAAGGAGTGGAAGGAGAAGGTTGTGTTGCAGTTAACTTGTCCGCCAGATCAACTGAAAATGAACCGTGCCATAGAAAATCCCACCAAATATGAAGTGCATACAGTAATACAATTCCTATGTACGAAAAAACTTTCAGCAGCTGCAATTCATTGCAAACTCTGTAATGTTTACAGACCAAATGTGATGAGTGAAGGTGTCATATGTCAATGGTGTTGCATGTTTAAAGATGGACGAACTGACGTGCATGATGAGGCAAGAAGTGGCTGCCCATCTGTGGTCAGCGATGAACTCATGCAGGAAATTGACAAAAAGGTCTATGAAGTCTATTGATTCATGATATCTGCACTTTCTTTACACTTTCCCCAAATTTCTTAGACTGTTTTGTATGAGGTAGTGACAGAAAATTTGGGATACCGCAAGTTTGGTGCTCGTTGCGTACCAAAACTTCTTTCTGAGGAGCACAAAACACACTGAATGAGTTCATGATGCTGTTAAAGGGTGGCTTCATTCCCAGGCGGGAGATTTTTTTTGTAGAAGGAATTTCAAACCTTGTAGACATTATGACAAGTGCCTCAATTTGAATGGTGATTATGTCGAAAAGTAATGTAGTTTTCTAATGTGTATAATAAAAGTTCAATATCTGCAAGTGTCTGTCATTGATAACCAAATAGAGGTTTATTTCCAAATTGCCCTCATATAAATCTAGATGCCATTGGTAATGTTATTACCAACATTTCTAGGTGAGTACAGAGTGTTGTTGAGCTCATGTTGCTGAGCTCATGTGTTGCTGAGTGTTGGTGTTACTGAGCTCATGTATTATATTTGACTTCAGCAAGGAAGCGGATTGTAAACTAGATAGGACTTTGGTCTGATCTAGCATGCTACTTCTTATATTCACCGTATCTATTCTTAACATTCTTTTGTCAATATATTTGAGAATTCATAATTTTCATATATTTCATGAAAAACTAAGATGGATGATTTGGGATAGTAGCTTACAGTCAACCCTATTTCTACATACCTACTAGTTGTAATTTTATGTAATTCTACTGGAGTCCATCCTTATTCATAGTTGTAGAATAGTTTTCATCTGTTTTTTTTTTTTTTTTTTTGTCAATCAACTTGTCAGACCTCCTGGTAAGACAGAAATCTTAGAAATAAAAACAAAATATATATATATGTTTTCTGAGGTTTTCGCGGGTGTTTGTATGTAGGTCTTTGGTTGTTCGGGTTTTCTCCCACGTAAAATTGGAAGTGTCTTGGCGACGTTTCGACGAAGTCCCATTCGTCATCTTCAGGCTGGTGTTTTCAGCTTCGTGCTTCGAGCAGCTCAAAGCACGAAGCTGAAAACACCAGCCTGAAGATGACGAATGGGACTTCGTCGAAACGTCGCCAAGACACTTCCAATTTTACGTGGGAGAAAACCCGAACAACCAAAGACCTACATACAAACACCCGCGAAAACCTCAGAAAACATATATATATATTTTGTTTTTATTTCTAATCATATATATATTCATTAATTTTTAGTTCGCAACAGCTTACTTAATACCAAATGTAACCAAATTGGTATTTGCCAAGAGAACTGTACTTACTGTATTGCTTTGTTCTCTCTTCCACCTTTGATTCCTTTGGACCCTGGAATAAAGTATAGAATCCTCAATTACTGGCCAGCTTGGTCCTCTGACTCATAAGTAGAAGGATAACTGGTTCTACCAGACTTTCAATTTATGCTGTATGTACATGTGACTCTCTTTTACCATGACAAATGACTCTCTCTCTCTCTCTCTCTCTCTCTCTCTCTCTCTCTCTCTCTCTGATATTTGGGAACACATCAGCAGCAGAAACTCTTGTGAATGCACGGGATCTTGTTAGCCAAATGGGCTATGTTACGTGCATATGTAATAAATAAACATACAAACAAACAAATAATATACACCACAGTCTTTTTAATTTATTTCAAACAAAAGGAGTGATCATTTTCTGCTTTTATTGTTTCTCAGTATCTCAGTCATTGGTTGATCAGATAAATAGCTGTAATATCAACCATGCTCAATTAACCTTATTAAATAAATAAATAAATTAAGAAAAATAATTTTCTTTTATTTTTCATGGTGGCACAGAAACAAAATTATGAATACTACAAATACACACAGTTTTAAAACCTGCAAAGATGCACTGAGAATGTTGCTCTTTGCAAACAGAATTTTTTAAGAGCTTGCATTCTTGTTAACAGCTTCAGGTTACCAATTTCAAAAATTTGGGCCGTATAAGAAAATTTAAACTGGTTAATCATATTGGATTAGAAGACTCCAAAGTCCCTTCCAGCTCTATTCTGAGTGACTGAAGAGCTATAGAAACGGAGTTGCTGAAGAAAGGAACCAAAATGCCATGACAGGTGGCACAGGATCATAATTTGTAACTCTGGGAACTTTGGAGAGAAGATTTCATTTCATGAAATAGAAAGCCTTCCCTTCAAGTGTGCCAAACCCAGGCACAGCCCTGCAAGCACATGTTTGCCAAAAGGAAATCTCATTATTATGCCTTTCCACAGAAGCTGTAATTTCACCTCAGAGTTCTATGGTAATTAAACAGGGAGGCAACAGCTTCTGACAAGCCAAGTGGTGGTAAGCTATAGTTTGGAAGAGGCGTTTTTTTTTCTTGATGGTCTAAAGAGAGGCTAATCCCTAACACAGGGAAGCGTTCTGTGCTTTGAGTATAATGCACACAAGCCATTCCATGCGGGTCTGTGGTATTTACAAGATGAAACTGCTGATTTGAAGAACAGTTTAGAGAGTAATAAATAAACATGGCATGATAAAAAAAATCAAGAATGCCACATAATCCTGAAAGTGCTAAAAAAGCAGTGCTTTTGCATATTTGATAATGTGATGCTATAAAATGAGCCAGGCAAAGTGATGATAGCAGCTTAATGTTAGGTGAGATGTTGATAATAATCACCCAAACAATCAAAACGCATCACTCCTAGAACTCAAGATATATTTCCTCTTTAGCATCCTGGCTATTAATACAGGTAGTCTTTGACTTACAATAGTTTATTTAGTGACTGTTCAAAGTTACAACAACACCGAAAAAGTGACTTATTACCATTTTTCAATTTCAACCTTTGCAGAATCCCCTTGATCAGATGATCAAAATTCAGATGCTTGGCAGCCGATTCATACTTATGACCCTTGCTATGTTCCAAGGTCATATGATCCCTTTTTGCAAACTTCTGACAAGCAAAGTCAATGGGGAAGCCAGATTCACTTAAAAACTGGGTTATTAACTTAACAACTGCAGTGATTCCCTTAACATCTGCAGCAAGAAAGGTCGTACATTGGGTTAAAACCTCACAAGTGTCTCATTTAACAACAGAAATTTTGAGCTCAATTGTACTCATAAGCTGAGGATTACTTATAATTCTATCTCTTTGGATGTAGAATGAATGGATGAATAAAGAGTAGGACTATGCTTTTGAATCTCATGAAATCTCATGCAATTGTGCCATATCATTGCCCAGTGCTCTTCAACATCTTCATCAACGATCTGGATGAGGGGATAGATGGGGAACTCATCAAATTTACAGATGACACCAAGCTGGCAGGAATAGCCAACACTCCAGAAGACAGGCTTAGGATACAGGAAGATCTGGATAGACTTGAACACTGGGTGCTATCTAACAAAATGAAATTCAATGGTGAAAAAAGTAAGGTTCTACATTTTGGAAAGAAAAACCAAATGTACAGGTATAATATAAGGCAAGGGTGTCAAACTGCCGGCCCACGGGCCAGATGCGTCATGTGGAAGCCACACCCAACACATTATCAGCAATGGCAAAACCAGCCTGATACGTTGCATGATGTCACATGACATCGCAAATTTGAAATGCCTGGTATAAGGGGGTACCTTGCTCAATAGTATTAACTGTGAGAGGGACCTCGGAGTCCTAGTGGACAATCACTTAAATATGAGCCAGCAGTGTGCTGCAGCTGCCAAAAAAGCCAACACAGTGCTAGGCTGCATTAACAGAGGGATAGAATCAAGATCACGAGAAGTATTAATACCACTTTACAATGCCTTGGTAAGGCCACACTTGGAGTACTGCATCCAGTTTTGGTCACCAGCATGTAAAAAGGATGTTTATTTATTATTTTATTTATTTTTAAAATTTATAAGCCGCCCCACTCCCGGAGGACTCTGGGCGGCTAACAATAAAAAACACATAAAACAACAAAACAAACAGTACAAGAACAGTCATCCAGGGGTCAGATTTTATAAACCCCAGGTCTGCCGGAAAAACCAGGTCTTAAGCAGCTTACGGAAAACCAACAGGGTGGGAGCGATCCTAATCTGTTGAGACTCTAGAAAGAGTACAGAGAAGAGCAACAAAGATGATTAGGGGACTGGAGGCTAAAACATATAAGGAACAGTTGTTGGAATTGGGTATGTCTAGTTTAATGAAGAGAAGGACGAGGGGGGACATGATAGCAGTGTTCCAATATCTCAGGGGTTGCCACAAAGAAGAGGGAGTCAAACTATTTTCCAAAGCACCTGAAGGCAGGACAAGAAGCAATGGATGGAAACTAATCAAGGAGAGGAGCAACCTAGAACTAAGGAGAAATTTCCTGACAGTTAGAACAATTAACCAGTGGAAAACCTGCCTCCAGAAGTGGTGAATGCTCCAACACTGGAAGTTTTTAAGAAGAGACTTGTCAGCCATTTGTCCGAAATGGTATAGGGTTTCCTACCTGAGCAGGGGATTGGACTAGATGTCCTCCAAAGTCCCTTCCAATATTATTATTATTATTGTTGTTTTTGTTTTTGTTGTTGTTGTTATTTAAACCCTGAGTTGGTTCAGGTTTTTATCCCTGTATTGCAGAGAGGTGCAATATTTGTCCAAGACCTCTCTCTCTATATATATGCAGGTCTTGGTGTATTCGGGTCTTTTCCAGTGTAAGATTCAGAGTATCTTGGCGATGTTTTGACGAGGTCCCTCATCTTCAGGCTGGGGTCTTCGGCTTCGTGCTTGTGCGAGCAATATATGTATGTATGTATGTATGTATGTATGTATGTATGTATGTATGCATGTATTATACCTTATGATGTTGCTAAGTAAATAGAGAGCTTGGACTTTATCAAGGCTAGATTTGGCAAAGGAAATAATTCTAGATGGAAATATTCAAGAAAATCACTTGATTGAGTTGGGCAGTTATAAAAATTGAATGAAAAAATAAAAAAAATAATTAAAATGTGTTTGTTATCCATTTTCAAAATGTCTTTATATTGTGGAAATGAGAAAATGGAGCAATATGTTTCTATGTGGTCTAGATTTAATAAGTTTAAAGAATGGAGATACACAAAGAAACACATACACATAAATACACAAAAATATAATATATATTTTCTTTTTTCGTGTTCTTTTTTCTTTTTTATGTTTAGTTTATTTTAATCACCATAATGTGGGCAATTGCTTTAACTGCATAATTACTATTATATTTTGTTGCTTCACTTGTTTGCTGCATTCTACCAGTAACTATAATAACTAGGGGGGGGGAAACATAACTATGCATGGAAAGTTAATCAGAATGAAGGTTGCCAGGGATGACTGTCCTAGGCCAGGGCTAGAAAAAAGAAATAAAGTACTGACAGTGCTTGGCTTATGACCACAACTGGGAGCAAGAGAAGGTGGTTGCTAACTAAGGTGGTTGTTTTTGCTATGATTGTTAAGTGAATCCAAATTTCCCCATTGATCTTGTTGTTGGAAGCCAGCTGGGAAAGTCTCAAAGGGTGATCATGTGACCCCCCCAGAAGCTGCAACTGTTGTAAATAACATGCTGATTGCCAAATGCCCAAACTTTGATCACTCGATCCTGGGGATGCTGTGACAATGGTAAGTGTGAGGTCCAGTTGTACGTCAGTGTTTCAAGAGCTTTTCCTATAGTCACTAAACAAATGGTTGTAAGTCAAGGACCACCTGCAGAGGTTCATCCAGCAACAGCTCCTCTACTTGTTGCCAAATTGTGTATTGTGATATACAATAGGCAGACAGAGCTTTTAGGTAGCACCTCAGTTATGGCTATCCACTAAAGAGAAGTGAAGACCCCAAAGAGAGATTAGAAGGAGCAATTTATGAAACTCTATTCCTGACCCCTAAAAGGATTTGTCCTATGTGGGTAATGCCTGGGGCCTTGATGTCTCCCAAGTGAGCAGACACTCTGTGAGGAAAGTTGGAATCAGAAAAAAATTACAGCTATTGAATAAACTGGAGGGGAATAGTTCAGCAAAAGAAAAGGTGTTTCGTCTTGATTGGCTGGCTGAGGAGCAAATGATTGTTTCTTCGGCTATAGTTCAGGCTCTTGATGGCTATTCAGAAGACCCATGTTGTTATACCTTATTACACCTACTGGAGACTGCCACCTACTTTTCATTCTTGTAAGAAATCAGTAGGCAATCCATGATGAGATAATGACTGAATGTCTCTCAAGTGGGACTTCTTCATTTTCCCCAAAGTAACCTCACTGGGATTCACTAATCATGATTAATATGAGAGATTTGGATACCTTTAATCTTTGGCTATGAAGATACTACTCTGTAAACTAGCAAATAATGTAAAATAAAGCAACTCTTTTCTCCCTGTCTTCTTGATCTACTTCTTTTCTTCCATAGCTTCCATCTGATTTTATAAACACTGCAGTAATGAAATACGCCTACAATGTTTTCCATACAGATTGACTAAGAAAAAACAGAGACAGTTTCCAATAAGGTGTGTTACTAAACTTGATGGCTGTGCACCATAAAGGAATTTTCTTATTGCTGAAATCATTAAATTCCCCTAAAGTCTTGCATATGTCTATGAATTGCAGGTAAAACCCTTGCTGTGTTGTGTTTTCCCCTTTCTTCAAAAGCTGTTGGAGGTATGTGAATGACATGCAGACAAATGTTGAATATTTCCCCCACAAGAGCTCTAAAGAGATGGTTTTGTTAATTTAAATATTCCAGTGTCAGCATGTGGGTAAATACACTTTTCTTGAACACTCGGCTTGATTGTAAACTACATTACAATTTATCATACATAGCAGGGAAGACTAGCAACAGTTTACTGCTGTGAACTACCCATTTCTGATTACTTAAGGCTAGATTTGCTCCAGGCTTTCTTTCCAGTTATATGTTTAATTTTAATACATTTCACCAAATTGTAAATTTATGTAAAACATATCTTCCAGTCTATCTCATGGTTTAAATTTTTTATCCTCAGCTATTCTCAGCATTCCTCTCATGGATTGAAACTTATAAAGGTATTATACATTTTGTCCATGTTTATGATACACTTTCCTCCAGAATTCTTTCCATTTGGTGAATGGTTTCTAAATAACAAGGACATCAGGTACTAGATGGAAACCTATCCCAAACTTTCTTCATCCCCACACCCAACTAGATATCAGTATCTTAGTTAGAGATTTCACATTATAAACAGAGTGCCTTAAGTCCAAGACTTCTGATAAAAGATGTTAACATAAGTCCTGCTCCTAGTCTATCATTTTAGGCAGATATACCTGAAGCTGGTGCCAGAAATCTGGCATACTAATCATTTTTCTATGTTCAGGATGAATAAACCTTGTACCACAGATATAAGACTCCAATGACTTCCTTCTATAGAAGTTAATCTCCAGATAAATGTTGGAATTCCTGAAATTACTACTACTCAAGGGTAGCATCATGAGACACATGAAAGCAATAATTCTATATATCATAGGTCAAATGTAATTGTCTATTTTAGTTACAGCCTGATTATGTTATTGAAAGTGAATAAGCTTATTCGACATGGAGGGAAGTGTGTAGTGGAGTGCCCCAGGGCTCTGTTCTGGGCCCAGTACTCTTCAACATCAATGATTTGGATGAGGGGATAGATGGGGAACTCATCAAATTTGCAGACAACACCAAGCTGGCAGGAATAGCTAACACTCCAGAATAGACTTAAGATACAGAAGGATCTTGACAGACTTGAACATTGGGCACTATCTAACAAAATGAAATTCAATGGTGAAAAAAGTAAGGTTTTACATTTAGTCAAGGAAAACCAAATGCACAGGTACAGTATAGGTGGTACTTTGCTCAATAGTAGTAACTGTGAGAGGGATCTTGGAGTCCTAGTAGACAATCTTTTAAATATGAGCCAGCAGTGTGCTACAGCTGCCCAAAAAGTCAGCACAGTGCTAGGCTGCATTAATGAAGGGATAGAATTAACACCCCATGAGATGTTAATACCACTTTACAACACCTTGGTAAGGCCACACTTGGAATACTGCATCCAGTTTTGGTCACCACGATGTAAAAAAGATGTTGAGACTCTAGAAAGAATACGGAGAAGAGCAACAAAGATGATTTGGGGACTGGAAACTAAAACATATGAAGAATGATTCTGGAATTGGGTATGTCTAGTTTAATGTGGAATTAATTGCACAAATATGTCCATGGACATGCTCCCACAAAGGCCTTGAGATAACAAACAGACTGCTCCAGACACAGAATACATTCATCAGCCATTTGGACAGGCTCTGATAAGAACACCTGCATAGCCTTGCATCTGGAGAGTGTCTGTTATGCGATACATTGTAACCACCCCCTATATACGTCTTTTGATTACGCTGTGTGATGTAAAAACTATAGTAACAATAAAATAGGGTGTTGGAGTCAGCTCTGGGCTCCCATCCCGAGATACCTGCGTGCGTGTCTCATTCTCCATGGGAAACCACCACATCTGGTGACCCCGACGTGATCCACTGAGGGATACGTCCCTGCCGACCCTTTACTTATCGCCTGGAATAGGCTTGGTGCACCCGACGAAGTTGCTGGCAACTGACTCCTCTTCGTAAGTATGGGGGGTGGAATGTCTCATGCTCAAAAGCAGCATGTGGAAGAGCTGAGGCTACTTGGCAGGAAAAAATATCTTACTGATCAGGAACAGAAATTAACCCGTCACCTTTCTAAATCTGAGGCTGTTAAATTGCTTGCTTACGTATGGGCTAACTGCTCATCCTATCCGGAGTCTGGATCT